TTTTTATTTTTATTTTTATTTTTTCCTGGAAATCTCCATAAAAACATCCTGTATTGCTCCCAGGACTTCAAAACAGTATCTTTATGAGTCTTTGTCAGAAACAGCAAACTGATGAAAAAGTATATGCAACTCGGAAGAGAGTGTCTAAACAAAAGAAAATTATAATGGTGCATGTTCTGAAGTTGAAAATGTATCTCAAGTGTTACTGAAAATAATATAAAATGTTACTAACTCATAAAAGGGGATAAAATAAGTATTTCTTTTAGCAATAGAGATGTTACTAATCTATGTTATTCACACAATATGTTACTAATACATGAAAGGGGATAAAATATTTATTTCAGCAATAGAAATGCTAAAATGTTAAAAATGTTAAAGGTATTGAAGGATTGTACTGTAATGCTATTAATTTAAGACGTTCCACCTTTTCTGTGCTTTTACATTAGTTCTGGACTTGAGACATCAATATGATCCTTTATTGTACTTAACATCAACTTTTATTGCAAAGATGTGAGTATAAAATGACAAGTACCCTGTGCCTGATCTTTCTTATCTGGTTTTATTTCCATATACATAAAATCAAACAAATAAAGATCCTCTCTGTATCACGTTTATGCAAATGATACACTTGATGAACCACAGAAAAACCCAKWWTGGGTSAGGTTGGAAGGTGCCACAGTGGTGATCTGGTCCAGCYTCCCCRCTCAGGCRGGATCCTCCCARAGCACACGGCACAGGATTGTGTCCAGACAGTTCTTGAATGTCTSCAGAGAGGGAGACTCCACACCTTCTCAGTCAACTCTCCTCAAGGCTGAACCAGCCCAGCTCCCTCACCCTTCCCTTATAAAAGAGCTGCTCCAATCCCTTAATCATCCTTTTCTCCCTCCTCTAAACCCTCTCAAAGATGTCTTGCGACAACCAGCCCTCCTCCCTCCCACTCTCACAAAAATAGTCATGTTTGAACAAAGCAAGGCAGGAGATAAATCTGTCATCTTRTCTTCATAGCACTTCTCTTTTTCTTTCTCGTACAAATATCTGCCCCTTATTCCCATTTAACAAGCAGGCATGTCATGAAAGCAAATCTTTAAAGGAACTTCTGGTTCTCTTGTTTAGAGGACTTGAAGCATTAGTAATGTCACAAGTGTTCTGWTATTTTTTTCCCCCAGTGTTCTTTCTGTTTCGTAGTGTTCTCATTAAGTTTCTTTAACTTGCTAGAAAACAAGCAACTCAGGTGGCTTGTGGCAGATAATTATTTTTTCCAGAAAGGCCACATAAGTCAGGATGAATCATAAATGTCTTTGCCTTGGGAGAAGTGACAGCTTTCACATTGGTACCTATCAATCATGACCAGTCCCTGCAGCATGTCAAAAGATGGTGTAAGTGAATGTGGCAATGGTGACATTTGATATTTTTGAACTGCAGAAGGACTGGATGTAAGTATCTTCTGAAAAAAAAAGTCTTTGAATTATTTATGGCATGATAAAGGTATAAAAAATGAGCTGTAAAACAATTTTTTCCCCTCTTAGTTCCCAGCATTCATTTTTCATTCTATAGCTGCTCTGTCTTCTTTATTTAAGAGGCAAATGTTTGGGGTCACTTGTTTAAGACTAAATTGTGAAAAGGGATTTGCAATTTTTATGGGCCCTGACAAGATGTATCCACAAGTGCTGAGAGAGCTGGCAGACATCATAGAAAGGGAGCTCATGATCATCTTTGGAAGGTCCTTATCTCCAGAGATAAGATGCCTGAGGAAGAGAGCAAATGGTACTCAGTCTTCAAAAGGGGCAAGAAGGAGGACCCAGGGAACTGGAGCCAGCCAGCCTCACCTCAGCCCTTGGAAGGGCCAGAGGCCTCCTCAGCAGTTCACTGATGTCACCAACCTGGGGCAGTGGCCGATACCCCAGAGGGCTCTGTGGCCCTTCAGAGGGACCTCGATGTGTTGGAGAGATGATTCCTCTTCTTGGGCAGAGAAAAACTGCCTCAAGTTCTACAGAGGCGAGTGCAGTGTCCTGCAGTGGGGAGGAACAACCCCTGGCACCGGGACAGGCTGGGGTGAGCTGAGGGAAGCAGAGGGATGAGGCCCTGGGGATCCTGGGGACAGCAGAGTGTCCCCATGTGGGCCAGCAGGGCCCTGTGGCCAGGGAGGAGCATCAGGAAGAGCATTTGCAGCATTTGCAGCAGGGGAAGGGAGGGGATGCTGCCCCTCTCTCAGCCCTGGGGAGGCACATCTGGGCTGCTGTGTCCAGTTTGGGGCTCCTCAGTGCCAGAGGGACGAGGGGCTCCTGGAGCAGATCCAGGGGAGGGGGACAGAGGGGACCAAGGGACTGGAGCCTCTCTTATGAGGAAAGGCTGAGGGAAATGGGTTTGCTCAGCCCAAAAAGACATTACTGAGAGGGGAACTCATCAATGTCTGTCAGAGCTGCAGAGAAAGGTCAGGGATGGACCAGGCTCTGCTCAGTGGGGCCCAGCAATGGGACACAAGGCAACGGGCAGGAACTGAGGCACAGGAAATTCCACCTGACTATGACAAAGAATTTGTTTACTTTGTGGGTGATGGAGYACTAGAACAAATTTCCCAGAGGGACTCTGGAGTCTCTCACTGGAGTTGTTCAAGAACATTYTGGACACAATCCTGTGCCTGGTGTTCTAGGCCACTCCTGCTTGAACAGGAAGGTTGGAACAGAAGAACACTGTGACCCCTTCCTACCTGACCCATTCTGTGACTCTGTGAATACTCTTGCCTTCTATGGGGTTTTTTCCAGCATTGCTGCTTTAGAAAAGCAAGATGTGCTAAACAGTTGTGTTTCCTAAATATTTTTATTGGAAATTGACATTTTTTACATTCCCACGTATGAATATTTTACTCCCACGTATTAATATTTTACCTGTATATTAAGGACAGTGACCTCGCATCATGCAGAGTCATCAAACTGGAGCCTGTTCCCATGTGCTGCTCCAGGTAAGCACTTGCAGTAGCAGGAMAACAAAATTCAGTGCTTTCCCACCTTTGGATTGTGCAGTGAACTGAGATRAGCAGACCCTGCCGCGCATTTCCAGGGACACAGCTCTGTGTGATGTGACCTTTCCCGGACCACGGAGCGCTTTTTGCGAGGGTCATTCCCAAAAGCTCCGCCCGCTCCAAGGGCGAGGGCCCGGGGCTGTCGCCGCTGTGGCTCGGGGAGCGGGTGCTCGGTGCCCTCTGGTGTTCAGTGACAGCACAGCGCTCCTCCGTCCCCAAACCGAGCCCTGTCCCTCCCTTTGGCACCTCGCTCCGGAGTTTGCTTATCGCGATGCGCTGCTTTTTTCCTTGCATAAAAAACCAAGGAAAGCTCTTGTTGCCAGCTGCAGCCCAGCTGCCTAATGCACTGCAGACACCTACGGATACGTGGTGGTAGGAAGAGACCCCCCGGACTCGTTTAGCACCAAATTTCCGGCAGAATCTGGCAGGATTTTGAAACCTTCCATGCTGATGCCAAGGGTCGATCCTGTAATGTTAAGCTTGCAATGCAATTTTCAAGTTACTCGGTTTCCAGATTTTGAGGGCTGAGGTGCTTCCTTTTTTAATAAGTGCTGATGTTCAATCAATATACCCAATCCCAACAAGTAGGCCTTTAAGACATATATCCCAAATATTGTTAGATTGCCATAATATTGCAAAATATGACAATAAAACAGCTTTTAGAACTGTGATTCTCTTTCACAGGGGGGTAACACCTTATCAAAGGGTGKTGCTCTCTAATGACCAGGAAATTTTGCATTTTGGAATATTTTCCTAGGAATGACTTCACRTCAAATGTGCTCAAAATTCAGTATTTCAGTTTACATCTGTGRAAAWGCAATCCCAGATCTGAAAWTTAAACTAGATTCTTCTATTCMCTATTTACAATTGAGTGTGCAGACYGAGCAGTTATATATACTGCTGTAGGATCTCTGCTACCCTCAGGAGCTCATGGATACCTTTTGATCAGCTGGATTTGCCCATGACTAAGGTATTGGAGTTTAACAGGAAGTGACTTTTCATGGGCAAAAGGAAGATTATATTTCCTGTGAACCCTCTCAAAAAAGTAATTCAAACATTTAAGAGAATCATCTAATAAGTGATTTGAATTACYTAGTAGATGATTTGAAGGCATAAAATTTTTAGAGTTTATTCAGAATAAACATCAAACAAGACAGATACTAATGCTGGTGGAGGGAATGCAGGATTTGGAACTTCCCTTTGCCCTGGGCTCCTGTTAGCCCATCTCTCCAGCCCATTGAGGACCCTGGTGAAGGAGTCACCCCTCCTGGTGTGATCTGACTTTTTCACAAATACAGAAACAAGTAATTTTCCACAAGATTCCAGTTTTATCCAGTGTGAGGTTCTGCTGAATAAAAGTGRAAAGGTTCATTAACCTTAATTTTAGAAGTCAGTTTTGAATAGTTAATTTGATCATTGYACAATTGACCAAATTGATTCAGCTGATCTGAAGGAAAAACACAAGTCCTTGCAGAAACAGCATCTCATGGTCCCAGGGAATGGATGAGTAAGGGAGAGATCTGGTATCTGAGTAAGTTACCTTTATTTTATTTCACATACTGAATAGTAACCAGTCCTTTACAAGTGGGTAGTCAATGTTCCCAAACTAAATAAACTGCTTCTGTCTCTGATCTTTTGGCCCCAATTTTCTCAGCCATCCTGTGAGTCTATATTTTATAGTTCAGATTTTGGGAAAGGGTTCTGAGGCTATGCATATAGGCAGAGAAATCTGCTTATGTGTATTATCAGATGCACTTCAGCACAGGAATGAGTTAACTGGCTGCCCATGGCACCAGCTGTTGCTGAGATTGTACCTGGAGGAAATCCTTTTACCTGCTCTAAATATGACAAAAAGGTAATTTAAGTAACCCCCTTTAAACAGAAAAAATAGGAATTCTCTTCTGAGAAATAACCCTCACTAAAACAAGTAGATCCAAGCTCTCAATTTAATGCCCTTGAGCTGCACCGCACCCATACCTATTCCTGCTCCACTTCAGGGATACAAATTAGATCAGAGCTTCTGTGCAGGCACTCAATTGAATAATCAGGTTTTAGAGCAGACAGTCGTGAATGGCAATGAAGGGGACTGTTTTTTTTTTTTTTTTTTTTTTTTTTTTTTTTTTTTTTTTTTTTTTTTTTTTTTTTTTTTTTTTTTTTTTTTTACTGTGAAAGAGAGTGCCAGAATAACTCACTGAGAAAGTGATGCGGCGTTTCCACTGAACAGGCATTTCAAAGGGAAACCCGGAAATGCAATTGGAGTCGTTATTACATTAAGACCTTGGTTAGTTATTTTAAGGGGCTGAAGTTTTTTAAACGTCCCTAAGCAACCAAAGTCTTTGCCTGAGGAGAACATCCAGTCTTTAAAGGTTCTCTCAGTTTGTCACTAGATGTCAGCCTGCACCTTCGAGTCCCTMCCCTTGTACCATGATGTGCACCTCTCCACCAGCACCCGCTACGAAATCTGTGAAAGAAGGAGACCAAGCACGAAAATCTTGTCAAGAACTGTGTAAGTATTGTTTTGTATCCTTCAGCAATGTTTATTGTAGTCCACGAAAAGGTGATCGTTACAAATGAAGGCATGACCATTAGCAGGAAACAGGAGCGGTTTTGAACATGTTGYACTGATTACTCAGAAAAACCCCAGATACTCAGTAGGATTTGTTGTTATAGGGCTGGAGAGACCCTCTGCTGAGGCCACACACCCTATGCACACAGAGTGACTGCCCCTTTGTGCCAAGGCCCGGGCTGGTGCCCCTTCCTGTGCAACACAGAGTGCAGATTTCACACTCTTAGCTGGGACTCACGGCACAGGTGGAGCAAAATTCCCCCCTGCTCATGCACTGCTGGAGCAGGGCTCCTTGGAYGCTCGCTGACCTGCACAGCCCGGCTGCTGGCCTGGCACAAACCAGGTTTTGGCCAAGTGGATGGGTTATGCCTCTGTCAAACAGCAGATCTGTAACCTACACTGGGTGGAGCAGTGCCTTTAGAGAGAGCTGCCACCTAAATTCATAGCCCAGTCCCTACCCACTCAAGGTGTTTTCATGTTTCATGTATTTTCATTTGAGGTTTTTATGTCTATAGTGATCAGACAGCTGGGGCTCCTCTGAGAATGGTGCATTGCTTGCATCCTGGGCTACCCATGGGTTGTTCTGAACACCACCTATTTTACTGTGCTCTTTTCCTGGCACAGAATTATGACATCCACAAAAGCAGGTGGGTTTCGCCATGCTGAGCACCACAGAGACTGTCTTCTAACCAGCTTGCTGTCTACTGAAAATCATAGTTACACTTCAGACACTTGTACAGCTGTTTATTTAATGCACAAGAACAGTTAAACATCAGACAGGGAACAGATTTACAGCAAGTTAAGCAAGAAAYTATGCTGCTCAAAAGCAACAGTAAGAAGAGCATCTGGCTGTGAGATTCCTCCCATCTCCCTAATTTAGATACTTTCTCCTGGCCTACAGAGACACAGCTATATCACTGAACTCTGGACTTAAGAGGTCTTTGTATCCTTTTCTTGTACAACACTGCAGCTTTCTTCACCTGAGGCACAGATATTAGGGCTTTCTCCCAGAACAGAAATKTAGATTTTTTGCAAATCCTTCAGCACATTAGGCTGCTTGACCTGTAGGTCTCAAAAGACTTCAGGCTCCTTGATAGCATACTGGAACTTTAATTCAACCAGGACCTGGGACCAAGTTAACCACTGTTCTTGGGAAGGAGAGACCTAGAATCCAGATCTGGATCCAATTTCTATTCTGTATTTGCAGTGGAAAAAGAATTCTTTGCAATTCCTCTTTGGAGTTTACACCATAAGCACTACACTGCCAAGCCGTGTTTGAGGGCTTTCTTTCCCCTTTATGATCCAGCAACAGTGAGCACCTCATGCAACAGGGAGCTGTTTCAAGCCAGAGGATATGAGAACATTCACAAAGCAGCCTGGAGATTCAAGCACTACCCTAGGATGTGGGMAAGGGGAATCTGAATCTCTCAGGCTGTGGGAAATAGCTGTGCCCACTAATCCAGCATTTCAAAAGGGAAGGAGCATAATCTGCACACAGATTGAAGCTGGGACAGAAGCAGCACAGCCAGGCACAGAGTCAAAGGGATGGGGGGAATGAGTTGAGTTCACAGCTCCTGACTTAAGAGTGGCCTGGCACAGCATATTCTCTGTAGGGATGCAGAGCTGCCTCCCTCACAGGACACACACTGTGGCCAGTCCCAGCAGAGATATCCCCAATAAAGCACAGAAATAAGTGCTACAGAATTAAGCAGATTTAGGCATGCTTAGGAACAGATTTCCAGGCACAAAAAATTTTACTAGAAAAAAACTTTTAGGTACCTATAGACTTCACCTGTCAACCAAGTCAGGATTTAGGAGGTTAGAGAGGCAGTTGCACAGTACTTAGATGCTCAAGGTCTTCTGTGGATATGTCTGATTTCTTCGGAGTCTTTGTATCTTTGTGTGAGTATGCCYATCAGCCACCAGCTCACTTCTGCTGTTCTTCAGACAACTTTTAAATCAATAAAAATGATTTGAAGTGTTAGCAAGTGCCCAAGGCTGAAGAAGTCTTTTGTGCCTTGAAAAAAAAAAAAAAGAGAAAAACTTCTTTCAAGCAGCAGAACCAGCTGCTTTCAGACCAAACCCGAATTTTACAACAGGAGTTACCAACACGTACAATAAACCCAATTGCCACTATGGCATTACAGTTTTCTCTGGACAGAAAATAGCAAGTTTGCTCTATGTCAATACTTAGAAGTGACAAGCAACCCTCTGCATAAATGCCTTCTTAGCAGAGTGAGGCAGATGCTGGAATTAGACTACAAGGAAAGGGGTTAGAAATAGAAAAGAGCATTGAATATTGTATTTAAATATCTTATATGCAGTATTAGGGATTAATGACCTTGTGTTCTGAAAACAAAATCAGAACTGTTGCATTTTTCTACCTTTTAAAACAAATATTTTGATCTTTTGATTTCAAWTTTTTTCCTCATAATTTAAAAAAATATTTTAAGAAGTACATATATAGCTTTACCATAAAAACTTTCACAGCTTAAAAATACTTTTTTAATCCCCCTAAAGTTCAATTCTGATCAGCCTCAAACTCTTCCCCTGTTTCTCTGGAACAGGGGCTGGGACAGGCCAGTCCCTGACATTCTCTAGGGTACATAAGCACTGTGRGCCCTAGAACTGCTCAGACTAAAGGAACTGAATTTCACTGAAACACTGATGCACTGGTGTCAGTGCCAACTCTCAGCAGAACTAAAGCCTTTGTGTTGGGTTTTAAGTGAACCCAGAAGCATCCCAGAGCAAGTGATTTGACATGGCCGGGATAGTTTTCCTTGTGGTTTTTCTTTGCATTTTTTGTTCGTGTTTTTTTGTTGTTTTTTTTTTTTTTTTTTTTTTTTTTTTTTTTTTTAGTTTTATTTACAATTGTGCTGATTTCCCGAAGTGAAATATGAACAGGTAGTCTGAAGTGCAGTAAAAATTAAGCCTTCAACTTCAGTGCCCTGAGAGAGATGCTGTCTTGCTCCACATGGTCTGGGGCTGTGAGGTTTCCTTTCCTCTCAGTGGCCTGGAGAGAGGCTGGAGAACAGTGTTAGGGGGATCACACCCTGCCTCCAAATCCCGGCAAAGCAACACCTCCCCACGAAGCTGCAAATTCTGTCCTTGGGTTTCTCCTTGGCTCTCTGGGCTGCTCAATATCCTGGCAGCAGCTGCCAGGGTAGGGGTAGCTAGAAAAGCTGATCCTGCTCAAATCTGGAGGGCAGAACAGTGTTCCTTGTCCCCTCTCTTTCCTAAGTACCGAAAAGAGGGGAAAGGGACCAGCCTGAACAAGCAGGGGTTTGGTACCTACCCGTTCTGGGTGCTGCCCTCCGGGCAGGTTTGGGATGGAGCAGAGKCTGTCTGATCGATCCCTGCGCCCTCGCTGGAGCCAGGGAGCAGTGACCAATCACACCGRCACCATCTGCAGGGTCCGGCAGCTGAAAAAGCACTCGGCTGCCCGTCCCTGCCTGCACGGACACGCGGGGTGGGAGGGCTCTGGCTTGAGGGGACACAGCTGACGCCTCCCAGCCTCACTCCGCCCCAGCCAGCCCCTCTCCTTCCCACGGTACTGTGCAAATCCTGCATCCCCCCTGGCTGGAATCCCATCACCCTCAGTTCTTGTCCCCCAGAATTGCTACAAGCACTAAAAAGCACCCTATAGAGACACCCTAGCACTACCTCCTTCTAGTCGTGCTCTCCAGCTCAGGGTGCATCCTCCAGCTTCCAAGTGTCTCCGAGGGCAGACAAAACCGCAAAAGAGCATCTGTCACACGCAAGTCCTCCTTCACTCATCCCTCCTCCCCTTGTCCTGACCAGGCATTCGATATCCCCAGGCCACACGGGGCACAGTGGCASCCCCAGAGCCCGCTGCCGTCTCAGCAGCGCTGCTCGGCGGAGCCGGCGGGCAGCAGGTCGTAGCGGCTGCTGTACATCACCACCCCGGGCGGGTAATAGGCCACCTCCGCCTGCACGGCCGCGGCGGGGCGAGCAGCAGCCACAGGGCGCACGGGCATCACGGCGTGCAGGGCTTGCTCCTCCTTCTCAGGCTTGGTGGTGTCAGTGAAAGGGCGCATGGTGGTGAGGGACGGCGAGGTGATCCTCCAGAGGAGGTTCTTGAGCGCCTTGCGGAACTCCCTGCGCATGAGGCAGTAGAGGATGGGGTTGAGGCAGCTGTTGGAGTGTGCCAGGCACACGCTGATGGGGAACAGGTACACTTGGGAGAGAAAGTACTCGTTACTGAAGTGCACCACGTTGAGTTTGATGAGTATCCCCCAGGTTGTAAGTGCTTGGTTGGGCAGCCAGCACAGGAAGAAGGACAACACCACGATGGACACTGACCGAGTCACTTTGGAGCGGCGCCGGATGCTGGGGCCGCTGCAGGTGCTGCCCACGTGCCTGTCGCTGATGAAGCGCACCAGGCGCAAGTAGCACACACTTATGACGATCAGCGGTACCACGAAACCCAGCAGCACCTTCTGGATGTGGTACAGACCCAGCCAGAACTGGGCATTGTTGCCTCGGCCTTCCGGGAACTTGACAAGGCAGAGAACATCATTAAAGACAGGGGCAGTGGTGGAAAAAATAGCGTGGGGCAGGGAAGCCAGGACAGCTGACAGCCAGATGAGAGCACAAAGCCACTTGGCAGAGCAGCAGCCACTCAGTGGGTCTCCTCGACGCTGATGCTTCAAGGCTGAAGCCACAGAGCGATATCGAGCCACGCTCATGGCAGTGAGAAAGAACACGCTGGCATACATATTCATTGCTGTCACATACGAGACGATCTTACACATCGCCTTGCCGAAGAGCCAGTTGAAGTCCAGAGCGTTCTCGACGGCCCAGAACGGCAAGGTCAGCACGAATTGAAAGTCAGTCACAGCCAGGCTGGTCACAAAGAGGTTGATGGAGGATTTCCTCCAGGCTTGCTTGCTTTTCATCAGGTAGAGCACCAGCAGGTTGCCCACCAGTCCCAGGGCGCACACCACGGAGTACACCAGCGAGATGACAATCCGCACCACATCAGAGCTGTCCCCCTGCATCCCGTCGGCTCGCTCCAGGTTGATGTTCTTCAAGAACTGCAGGAAGGACACGTTACTCCCGTTGTYCATCTGAGCGCCCTCCAGGAAACCCAGCGGCGCGTCCCAGGGCTCCCGGTCGGCTCCTTCCTTTAAGCCAGCGGCTGGCGAGCAGGCACCGCGCTCGCAGGGCTCGCCCATCCCATACTAGGGTGGGAGACGGATAAGCGGGAGTTTTTTCCCCAGACGCTGAGCAGCAGCAGCGGCGCCGGCGGGCTGCCGGAGCGGCGGCGAAGCACACTGCACCGATGACACGGCTGGCGCCGCTCGGCTCCGCGCCGCGCTTTTATCCGCGCCGGCGGGGCGGGGCATGCGCGCTGAGCGCGGAGCTCTCCCGGGTGCTGAGCGCGGCCCCGCGGCTGCTCCCGCCCATCGCCCCCGTACCGTCTGTCCTGTTCACACTGTCTGTCCCGTCCATCCCGTCCCGTTCCGTCTGTCCTGTCCACACTGTCTGTCCCGTCCATCCTGTCCCGTTCCGTCTGTCCTGTCCGTCCTGTCTGTCCCGTCCATCCCGTCCCGTCCCGTCCGTCCCGTTTCGTTCATCCCGTCCCGTCCATCCCGTCCCGTCCCGCACTCCTGGCTGGGAACCGCGCGTGTGAACCAACCGGGCGTTCCCGCGGGCTGAGTTCGACCAGCGGCCGGCCGGAGGCCATGCCCTGTCCCCTGTGGGATGCCCTCTCCCCTGATGTGATCCCCCATCCCCAGTGTCACGCCCCCGATCCCGATATGATACCCCAGCTCCCGATGTGATCTCCCAACTCCCGATGTGATCGCCCCTCACCGATGTGAACCCCACTCCCTCGATGTGATCGCCCCTTACCGATGTGATCCCCTCTCCTCGATGTGATGGCCCCTTACCGATGTGATCCCCCAAGCTCCCGATGTAATCCCCACTCCCTCGATGTGATCCCCACTCCCTCCGTGTGAACCCCTTTCCCCCGATATGATCCCCCAACTCCCGATGTGCTCCTCAGTCCCTCGGTGTGATCCCCCTTCCCTCGATGTGATCCCCTCTCCTCGGTGTGATGGCCCCTCACCGAAGTGATCCCCACTCCCTCGATGTGATCCCCTCTCCTCGATGTGATCGCTCCTCACCGATGTGATCCCCGCTATCCCGATACGATTCCCCTCCCCGATATGCATCCTGCCGATCAGCTTCCACACAGCCCCCTGCCTGTCCCCTCCTGTGTGGGGACAACCTCTGTGGCAGTCGCTCCGCAGGATGAGCCCGGAACAACCTGCGCCCTCGCGCTTGAGAAACCTCGGCACCGAGCCGGACCGCGCTCCGCCGGCACCAGAATGACCGCACTCCGGACAGGGACGGACGAACCTCTCTCCTGCTTTTGGGACGTGGGGACACGGTGTCTCTCCCTAATTTTAAAGCGAACGGCACAGACAAGGAAGGTATAAAGCGCGGCTATCAGGGCAGCGCTGGGGCGAAGGAAAGAGCAGCAGCAGCAGCAGCCGCTTCCCCGCCAGGGAGGGAGAGGGAGAGGGAATCCGCCCGCAGGGGGCCCCCCTGTCTTGCGCGGAGCTCGAAAATCGCTTCCTCACCAAGTTTGCAGCAGCAACAGAGAGCAACCGACGGGAGCAGGAACCGAAGCTTTCCTTCTTCTGCTCTGCTTTTAAATAAATCAAGATAACTGCGCATTTTGAAAACCAAATAGATTCTGAATAYACCTAAATAAAGCACTGTGAATCAGCCATCTGGGGGAGATTAACGGAACGTTTAACAACTATATTATTTTTCCATTGATTTATCTCAGTGAACTTCCTGCAAAGCCGTAGTCGTGTGTGCCATTTGTTATCAGCAGTCCACTCATTATTTTGATTTATACCTTGTAAAAGTATCAGCCAGATCATGGTATGGGTGTATGTGTTAATGGGGGAAAAGAATAATTGGGAAGTTTTATACATCATTCATATTCCTTATAATGAGGGTGCAAATGAGGGTTCTGGAGTTATTGGAATTAGCAATGCAAGGCCCTGGGAAGATTTTCTCTTCAGATTTTGCTATAAAAAAAACACAGCAAAAAATTTTATAGCACTTCCTATAAAAAATACCTTGGTACTAGAATGACCAAAAAAAAAAAAAGGAAAAAAAAAGAAAAAAAGAAACAAGAAAGACCCCTGACACTTTTTTTTCCTGTTGTGGTTTAGCCCCAGCCAGCAGCAAAGCCCCAGACAGCCACTCACTCAATCCCCCCGCCGCCAGTGGGATTGGGGATAGAATTGAAATGGGAAAAGCTGGAAAATTGTTATGACAAAGACAGTTTAACAGGAAAAGCCAAAGCCACACACACARGCAAAGCACAACAAGGAGTTAATTCACCACTTCCCGTGGGCAGGCAGGCGTTCAGGCACCTCCAGGGGAGCAGGGCCTATCACATCTAATTGTTAACTGGGAACACAAATGTCATCATGCCGAACTTCCCCTCTTCCCTTCACTTTCTATCCTGAGCACGATGCCATATGGTCTGGAAAATCCCTTTGGTCACTTGGGGTTACCTGTCCTGGCCATGTCTTCTTCAAATCTCCCAAGCACCCCCAGCTTCCCTGCCATTGTGGCAGTCAAAGAAACAGAAAAGGCCTTGGCRCTCTGTAAGCACAAGGAAACATCCTTGTGTTATCATCACTGTATCCAGCACAAATCCAAAATGTAACTCCATACCAGCTGCTTTGCAGAAAATTAACTTCAACTCAACCAAATCCAACACATTTTCACACTTTTTCCAAATCATGGATCTTTCTCCTAGGCTTCCATACCTCTTAAACACTGACTAGGGTTGCATTTGCATGGCATTTTCAATATAWGGCATTAAGTTGCACCTCTTAGCCTGCTGAATGGCAACAGTTTTTCAAATTCTCTCAACCAGGGGAAATCATCCTTGCAGTGAAATTTAACAACCCCATTAGTCCCATCAGTGCTGCACAGCCAACTGTAAAACAGTAGATGCAGAAAAGAAAGCCACCGGAACAACCAGCAATGGAACAACCACATAAATCAGCAATGTGAAAATGCTGAGTTTCAGTCAGACCTGCAAAGCTGCAGAGCTTCTGCAAGCAGTGCAGAGGATGAGGTGCCCCACAGCCCACAGCAGCAGTGGCTGCCTTAGCACTAGAGCCAGCATTTACCCAAAACCAGGGTTAGCAAAATATTTGGAATAAGCGAGTTCTTGTTCAATTTTCCCTCTCCACTAAGTTCTGCTACTATAAGCCTAAAAGGAAAAAATAATCTGTAATTGAGCCATGCAGAGACTGTAAGAGGTTCAGTTGGTAAAATATTAGTGAGATTGATAGCGCAGAAGTGGATTTTTTTCTACATTGAATTCTGACTTATTCTCATCACATTGCTAGATTCATACTAAGTTTTAAATATTTCACTRGGAAAATTGCAGCAAACACGTCTTGCATAGAATAATTTCTTCTACCATTTCTTCGGCTTGGCACATCTCATTGATATATTGCTGARACAGAACAGTAATAATGATTCAGGAAGGGGAAGAGAAGGGAAATAATGTCCATTTTGCTTTTTCTGTTAGCCACCCAAAGAAAACGACAGAACTGAGGTGCCTACCGGGAACACTACTAGTGGATTTTGAATTCAGGGCTGCAAATGTGAAATGCTTGTCCAATGCTTGTCCTTGATCATGTTTTGACCCCCAGAAAGATTCCTTTTGTCATTCTTCATCTCAGAGAAGTTTTAGAGGCCGGTAAGGGAACTTGTGACACCTTGATGAATAACAAAACAAGTATTTGCCACATAATTTACTTAACACACTGTCAGAACACTTCCAGCTGAAAAAATGTTTAAAAAGCCATCAGATACTTTCAAAAAGTATTGCAGAACTCATCAGATAGAGAACACAAGGGTTATTGTTCTGGAAGACATTGTCTTTGGTTTGTYTCTGTTCGCTCCACCCATGCTGCCAAAGCCCTGTTGCTAACGAGTAACTTTCGAGAGCCTTCTTTTTGTCCAAGCGTCACTGTAATCGGTGTTACTTACTCAGACTTTCTGAAAACTGTAATAAACCTGGCAGGCAGACAGGCTTCCATGATGTATTCTGGTGATAATGGGGAAAAAATGCCCAATTTGTGTATTTTGTTAATCTCAAACGGATCTGGCAGAGGCTTTTTCTGCATAAATATATATATATGACTAAGATAAAATATTCCACAGGGCTGAGATTGCTCATTTGCCTGGAGGCAGCATCAATCAGTACAGCAAACTTTAAAGAGCTTGCACCTGCTCAGACCACCAACAAAATTACCCATCAATTTTGACTATACRGCATCACAGGTGTTTCTCAAAAAGCTTTTTAAAAAATGCTACTTTTTTCAGATAAGTACWCCAAATAAACATTTGCTGAAAATGGTAATTTTCCTACAACTTACCCCAAAGAATTCCTATAATTTTTCACTCCCTTTACAGACYTCATACACAAAGAGAAGATTTATTATAATTACAACAGTGACTGAACCAGCTGTATGCTCCTCTGAAACATTTTGGCAAGCGAGATGGTGTTCTGTTTTCAATATGAAAGGCATTTTTTCTATCTTAAGGAAGCTTTAAAAAATATTGAATGTATCACTAAATGCAGAAACATGGGACTRTTTCTCAGGATATTTTTGTAGCAGTAAGAGATTTGAATTCTTTTTCTATTTGACAGAGTGAAGCAAAAAGTAGTATACTTTTACTAGAATAGTAAAGTTCTAGAACAGATTTCATTAAATAGATTTACTAGTATGTGTGACTTAAATGGGTTTTGTATTTTTTTTTAAAATGTTGCATTCTTGCAATTGAATTATGTCTTATGAATAATTCTTTATATAGCATGTTCTCTCAAATTCTGGGCCAGGTGAAGAAAACTAGAAAACAGAAAAGGAATATTTAATATTTGTTTAGTTTCTCTCTGGAACTGAAATGATCTTCCTTTGTCTTGTTATGAGCTCAGGGTGACAATCTCATCCTTTTGACTAAATTCAGATAGTACCTGTTAATGGTTACATTTTCAACTGGATTTTACAACGCTACTCCCAACATCCTGAGGGTGAACTTGGTGTGACTTGGTGTGTGTCCACCATGGGAAGATTTTCATGGCAATCTTTTTTTTTTTTAAAAGCACCATAGAAAATGTACACTTTCTACTTTGATTACAAAATCTCAGACAACACAATGGTCATACCATGATTCACGGACTATGGGCATACCCTCCAGAGAGTATTATTTAGACACAGAAATATGTTTTAATTTAAAAAAATAACCAAACAAACAAACCCCCAAAACCAGCCCAAAACCAAACAATCCCCTCAAAATCTTAATCACATTAATCATCCTCTTGTCATTTATTTTCTAGRCAGACCAGTGAGAACATATTTCTCTGAAACAAACTTTCATAAAAAGTTAATTCAAAGTGACCTGTTG